CTTGCCACTGTATGTATTCACATGCTTATTGCAATATATGTGGAGATAATTGTCTTTTCCTGTAGAAATGATTAACGAGCTAATATTTATTACTATTATTTGAATTTTGTTTGGCTGAGTCTTACATGTAAATGGTTTTAGAGAGGTGTAATCATTGAGTTGATTCCTAAACACATGCATGGATCGAGGTCCTATCTTTTCAAACCTCAAGCAATGCAGATGCATGACAACGATCTCACGTTGAAAGGCTACCAAATATGTGCGTAAATGTCTTCCATAATCCATAGGAATGAGACTGCAGATCTTAGCAAAGAGTGCTTTCCTTTGTGCTGAAAACAGCATTGCTCTTGTAGTAGGGCAAAAGGTTAGCCCTCATTACTTGTCTAGTGCATTGAAAGAGTTGTCCTTATCACTCGTTTAGGTTACCATAGATCATATATTTAGTCTGAGAGGCATCGATAGATACAGAACATGTGAAATTTGAGTGGAAAAAGGACATGTAATCGGACATAAGTTGAGTGTCATTATTGCATGAACCAGATGTGTGTATGTACTTCGAGTCCATTCGCATCAAAAAGATTAGTGGCGTTCACCGATTTTTACATTACGCCCATCATATTTGATGGTTCGAATAGAGTTGAGTTTTGCTTAAGAATTATGTAGTTAAAGGGATAGACAATAATATGAAAAATTTACCCATAGTGCGCCGAATACATATGTATCGTGTGCAATTTTTTTCTTAATATAAAAAGGACGCATGTCATGCATCTAAAATTGCCTGTAGCGAATATAAATTTCGAAACTAATTTCGTAGCCTCGCGACACATGAAACCAAGAACTTGGATCAAGGGCAATTTGGGTAAAATGAAGCATTTATTCCCCGACAACCTTTCGCATAGACTTCAAATTGCTAAGTCGGTCTTTTGGAAGGGTTCTCTTTCCACACACTCAAATGTGCATCGAATTTCAAAACCTCCCTTCCTTTCACTTTTGCTGAAGTTTCTTTCCTCTCTCTCTCTCTTCTCTCTAAGCCTTCAACTAGCCTTGGGTGCTCTGGTTCATGGATATTGATCTCTTGTGGGCTATTGGGGGGTGGTTTCTATTCTTTGATTGCATGGCAGCTTCTTCTTCTTCTTCAACATCATCACCGCTCTCAGAAAGCCCCACGAAGCTCAACCATCTCTTCATCACCTTCTTCCTCTTCCTCTCCCTTCTCAGCTTCATGTTCCTTGTATTGATGATCCAACCCATGGACCATGCCGAAAAGCCATCGCTCATGCCCTCCTCCTCGTCATTTGTCATCGCTCGAAGGCTTCTTCTCTCGTCATCGGATCATTCCATGAAGTCATCATCTTCATCGTCATCTTCATCTTCATCTACTGTGAGCTTTCACCCCAAGAAAGCCAACAACAAGGCTTCTTCGCGAGAATTCGGAGCCAGAGCCCACGAAGTCCCAAGTGGTCCAAACCCGATATCAAACCGATGAATTAGAACTGAGCACGGGTGTGTTTCGTGGAAACGGGACGGAGATGCATGGAAGAGCGATTAGAAGTGAGAAGCTATTGGCTTTTGGTTTACTGTTTCGAAGTCAGCCATTAATACTGCTTTGTCTTCAGTGAGAGGCTTTGTTAATTACTTTTTAGTATCATCTCTTCTCTAGTCTCTGCTTTCTTTTTTGGTGTCGCTCTCCCTTTTTGTTTTCTATAAAATGTATAGCAAACATATACTCTTTGATGATATATCTTATTTGCATGTTTTATATAGATTTGCTTTCTGTGATAGATGAAGCTGGAGAGGGGATAAAATTTGTGAAGCTTTATTTGCTATATTTGGTCAGACAGAGAAAAAAAGAAGCATATAGAAGTGCATGCCATCGTCATTTCAGATGTTGAAATTCATGTCCTTGTCGTTAAAACCTGTCATTCTAGCTAGTGAATCTATGTATGGGCCAAAAGAAAGAACTGGCCAGTGATCTTTATTGCTTGTAGAGCACAGAAATTAATTGGGTTGGCTCTCTCGCCCTCTCTGAGCTTCGTTGCCTTCTCTTCACAGGTCTAAGGGAGGGAGGGAGGGAGGGAAAGAGAATGGGTTACTGCTCTTGCTAGAGAAAACTTCAGTACATGGCTTCAGAATTGTTATTAGATTGTGAAGCTCTTGTTTCAAGTAATTATAATGCAAAAATTTCAATTTTCAGCTAAACAGAGAGCAACCTTAGGAGGGCAAACAAAAACGAAGCAAATCACATTAAAGGAAAAAGAAAATATGTTTCCTCGGGCGGTTGCATGAAGTTTCCTGCATTATTGATGCTGTCTAGGGTTCAAGGAAAAGGCTTTCAGAGAGAGAGAGAGAGAGAGATAAGAAGGGAATCTGAGCCACAACAAGAAGGCAATGTTGTCAGGGAGAAGTGTATAATTTGCAGAATGAGGACCCTGGCTTTTGTTTTTGCAGAGAGAGAGAGAGAGAGAGAGTGAGAGAGAGAATTATTTGCGGGGGAGGCCTTTAAGTTTTTTTTTTGGCGACTTTTGCTTTTGTCTTGTCAAAGAAAAAAAAAACCGCATCATCAAAAAGAAAAAGCTGGCTTCCAACTAAGGTCAGGATCAGCCTATGATTTGATCATAATCACTCTGCAACAGTCTCATTTCCTCTAGTTTGAATTATTCACCCCCAATCATATGAACCATGATGGGTTTTTCTTCATCATAACGCAAGCAAAGAAAAAAAGGACTCTCTCTCTCTCTCCAACATCTGATGACCCTTTAAGCACGAAATGTGCCATCAGTGTGATCTCAGCAAATTAAAGAAAGAAAGAAAGAAAAAGATGATGCAGAAAGTTGATGTTAATTACCCTTGGAAAAAATTAAAGACATTGGAGTTGTTGCTTGGAAGGTGCAAAATCGGTGTGTACTACTTGCTATAATGATCGCTACTCATTTAATATGTTTATCAAGTTACCTGACAAACGGTGACCGAAGAACATAGAGTAAAGATGCGTTTATCAAGCTACAGCTATGTAAAGGGGCATTACAGTTTTAATAAGGTGTTTACAAACTTTTTACAGCTGCAATGCCATCAAAGTCGAAGAAGACTATATTAGCTTTTGAAAGACATGTGTAGTATATTAAACATATAGGGAAAATTACTCAATTAGTGCTAAACCTATTATACGGATGTTAATTCAGTTTTAAACTTTTCGATTTTGCCAATACAATTCTTTATCTTTGCACGAAATTCTAATGTAGTTCTTCCGGTCAACCTTCAGTAGAAATCGCTGACTTGGCGATATGCCATGTGGGACTGCTATCAATGACTAGACCATTACGTCAGCAATTTCAGGCGAAAATTAATCGGAATAACTATACTGAAATTTTGCATAAAGGTATATGATTCAATTAACAAATTTGGAAAGTATAGAACTAAATTGATATCCGTACAATAAGTTTAAGACTATTTCAACAATTTCTCCTAAACACACGAGTTACAATATTTTACAACAAAGCACGTGGCAACGTAGCTACAAACTACTACACAACCGCAGTGTTACCAAATAGACGCTAAACTTGGATTTAGATTTGGCCATATGAGTTTAAATATATGTGGATTATGTTTGTTAAAGCCAAAGGAAAGAGGTTTCTTTGAATCAAAAGCTGGGGACATATCTCCTGAACAAACTGGACAATACACTAACCATCATGTACAAATCACATAATACCAAGACTCCGTTTGTTTCACGAAAAATAATTGATTTGAAAAATATTTTTTTAAAAATAATTACTTGTATCGCTTTAAAAAATGAATGAACGAAAATTTCTTTATTGCCTATGAAAATACTTAGACGTAAATTATTGTCGATAATGATACAATTTTTCATTGGCTAATTATTTCAAGCGATATAAGTGATATTTTTAAGAAAATATTTTCCAAATCAATCAATTTCCACGAAACAAACGGAACACCCAAGTGTCGCAACATTGTCGATAATCACATCCTACATGCAATTTAAGATCCTGATCCGAGAGTTAATATAAACACATAAGACAATCCGTGTGTTCCAAATGCCCCATAAAGAATGTCTGTAGGAACACCAAAAGACTGTTGAGCACCAGCAATACTACTTGGGGAAGATCCACCAATCCCTAAATAATAATTAGTGTTGTCCAATCCCAAAAGCGAGGCTCGCTTTAAGGTCGTGAAAGAGAAATTAAAGCAAAGTCAATGGACCACGCGATATGAAATCTTTGTTGATTGAGCAATAAGGACCTTCATAATGGGGATTAAAGTGTGCTCCCCAAACAGGTATTATAAAGTTCTAGCAGGCTCTTAGAAATGAAATTTTATCTACAAAGCTCTTCAAACTTTGATGTATAATTCTACAAATGCAGTGATACGAAGTATCAAACCGACACTGAAAACATGCTTTCATGTGATTTACCATACTTCGCCGGATCCCTGCGGACACATGCGAGATAATCAGCACTATCTTTCATATGACGAGTAAGGCTTTACCTTCTGAGTGCCGGGCATGGCCCTAAGTTACTTTGAGCAAGCGATTCCTATGATTCCAATACGGGATTTGCCGCACACATATCAACTTTGACCGTTCAACATAATCCTTAAGAGAAGATTTTTCTCGAAAGCTTATGTCTCTCCTCAAGTAATAATGCACTTAAAGGACTGGAAAGCAATTGAAATTTGAGGGTTTCGTTTTCTGCAAACAATACCAATATATCGAATTTCGAACTATGGTTTGCTCAGGCCTGCCCAGTGCCGGAAGGTCAAGGAAGTTGGTGACATCTACAGTTTAGATGCGAGCACTTCTTAACCCACCCACACACAAGATAAGAACAGAATTGCCAATGCCCGTCTCCCATAGACACATTCGGAGGAAATGGAAGATCGAATAACATGAAAGGGCCAGAAACCTCGTATCGCATATTGGACTAGTTTGAGTATAAGAAACAGCTTCCAAAGGTGTTAGTAAATGAAGGGCCAAAAACCTCGTATAGCAAAATCTTTATTCATTGTCCTGGCGGATATCATTGAAAAGTGGCCAACAATTGTACTGACATATAGTCACAACAGAGAACATTACAGGTATGACAAAATTTTGGTTAAGGCACATGCACTGTAAGGAGGCTGAAATAACTAAACTTAATCCCGCACAGAGAAAAAATCGATCCTCATAATGATACACTAACCTCGATGGAGGATTCCGTCAATATAACGTCTTTCGAATTATCTGCTTTTGGGTGATTAAGAGTGTCGAACTTTAGCCTAACATGTAAGGGTTTAACAAATACGAGGTCCCGCAAATCTGTGGTGGATTTCAATAAAATCTCACAACAGAGATCCCTACCCCTTTTTCCACTGCTCTTTGGCACCAGAAGATCTGAAAGTGTTCCGGCATATTTTTCACGATTGTCTTCTAGTATATCTAAGTTCCTTCTAAGCCTCAAATAAAGTGCTGCGTAAACAATGACCTATATGGAAGTAAGAAGATTTAGTACCAGTAAAATGTTAGACGTGAATCGCAAAGCAACCAAATTAGCCAAGAAGCATCACTTCTAATTGTAAAGGAGAGAGCTTTGGATGACGGGACTGAGGATTCCAAAAAAGAAGGTGCTAGAGTGAAGGTGAAATGAATCAGTCTGTAGAATTGGTATTGCCTCGTTTAGCAAAGGAAAGGTGTGTAGAAGCTGTTTAAATTAGAATTGAAGAATTCTGCATTCTTGAGTGTATACTCTTTATTCATTACCTGTGTTTACTATTTAGGCAGAATACAGTCACCTATTGTTACTAAAAAATTCAAAGAAACCTCTGAAATGGAAGAAAGTGATTCAACAAATTAAAAGCCAAGAAAATATCATTTTAGTCTTTTAGAGCTCATGTAACCAATTCTTCAGTTGATAAAAATAATTCAGAACAATTAAACCTCCAAGTCGACCCACTTCGATATTTGAGAAGACTATAGAATTTAGCATGTTAAATGGTGAGATGGAGCATATTACCTGTTAAGGCAACTGAATTTATATAAGAAAAAAATTCAGAGAGCATACCTCACTAGAACCAGGACTTGTATTGACAGCACAATCGATGCGAACATTCTTATCGTCAATCCTCATGTTCGAAGCATCATTATTGTCTTCCACAATCAACTGCGACTCAGGCACGGTGAAGGCAAGTTCGTCCAGTTCATTGTACCATTTTTGGGCTACACCAACCTAGATTTTGTCCACCAGAAAAGGTTCTCAGCTATCAAATTTATGGAAGTAGTAGTCTATAAGATCCCACAGGTTACAAAACTCTAGTCTTTTTCCTAGAGACGAGAAATTACCTTTTCTGAAGACCCCACATCATCCTCTGATTCATGGACTTCGGTAGCAGCTCCCCTGGCCTGGCGCCATATGCTGCCTTCTTGTACTGGCTCCACGAGCTCAGCATCCTTGGGAATGTCCACATTCAATTTAATGTGGACCCTACCTGATTCATCACAAAGGATTATAATGGATGGGCTCGATAGTTGAAAGGGACAATTATCTTATCAGGTTATTGAGGATTAGCATTATCACTCTGCAGTTGCTCTTCCATATACAACTATAATAGAGGGTTCATCCTTGGGCAATGTCCTTTCCATTGTCACTTGATTTAATATATGTTGAGGGTCCGTGCCCGTGAAATTAAAAAAGCATACGAATCGGAGTGAATACCAAGAATTAAATAAAACAAAAATTAAAACGAATGAAACTAGGCCTTCTCACCATGCAAAATGTGATCTTTTCGGGACAGCTACTTCTCATTGAATATTTGACAAAGATCTCCAAACTAGAAACTTAGGAGCATAAGCAACCTTAAAGTTATCAGTGAAACTGCCAATGCAACGAGAACCAACAACAGCAATCAAGTCTTCCCCTACTTAGTTGGGTTAGCTTCATGAATCCTCTAAAGCCATTCCCCTCTATTTTGTACTATATCCCAGATAATTTTGAAAGGACCATGAATTCAAAGATAAGTATCAGGCTTAAGACCAGAGTAATACCAGGCAACAAGCTGAAACATTGAACATGATCAGCTGGCGTTCCTTGAACTCCGTCAGCACTGGTGGCATGTTTCCACAATATTAGCAAACAGATACAATCAATGATTTTTATTAGGGAAACAAAATAAATGCCAGGCATGTGTAAACTTGTGCTGACGTTATTAATATTTAATTACTCACGTGGTGTAAACTCTTTCCAAACGTAAGGCCAACCAGTAAGGTAAGCCAAGAACTTGAAAGTTTGATAACTTAAAAGTTGAAACTTCACCAGAACTTCTGTCAAGTTTTAAAACCCTGTGACCAACTTCAGAAAGAACAAAAAATTAAATCAGATTGGATCAGCACCTACTGTACAACAAGTTACCAACACATAGAGCTGCATATGTAGAACATAAAGTTGGGTACCTGGATCACATACTATCGTGTGCTTTCCCAAGGTAGTTATAGATGATATAAGATCATTATAAAGGAGACCTTCTCCTACATCAGCAAGAGATTGATGCTGCAACCAATCATAATGGATCTGTTTCAAAAGTGCTACTCTCTCTGAAATCAACTCTTTGCCGATCTCCAAAATCTTCTGGAATCCTTGTTTACCGGTCATCAATTCAACAAGACAATTTTAGTAGACCTGTATCAATAATGGAGAAGTGGTCAAAGGACATTGAGCTAATTTCAAACCTTTGACAATGCCTTTGGTCTCCCCTGAAGCCAAATCTAAGATCCATGATGCTTCAAAGCTGCAAGAACAACAAACACTCATACAGTAAGCATGAAAAAAGATCAAGAAACGTGCAATGCATTAAGGGATCAGATCATAGCTCCCCAAATAAACCTACTAGGTAAGTCCTGTTTAGCGTGCAACTAGGAAAGAAGTAAGTAGATAATTGCTCCTTAAAATCTATAAGTAAACTAACGTGCAGGTGCATATTCAAAAACTCACTCCAGTGAAGAATTTGATGGAAGTTAAAAAACCCAGATAGAAGTCTTAGTTTCCTTAGCAAGTCATATTTCTTCAAGTATATCAGACATAATCTTAGGTCCCTAAGCTCTGCTTTCTTTTCTTACTAAGTTACAAGAATTGAACAGATTTTGCCAAAAGGGAACCTAAAATTACTACAAGTGCTTCCTCTTTCCATTCTGATGAGTATTGTTTTCCTCTCCCATCAGTACAGAGGACCAATAGTTGACAGAAATAAAGAACCATTGAACTTCCTGAGAAAATTCCTACTTGAAGTTTCGAAAATGGTTCCAAGAGGAAAGCCCTCATTAAAGATGACAGGGACTTGACAAACGGCTTGTTGAGATATCCTCAAACGCATAAAAAAGGTGCAATACGCTTTTCCTAATGTAAAATGAAAACTGCGGTGGTTCCTAAAAAATCAAACTTAAATGTTCGTCCCATCAATGTTATATAGCATCATAGCTAGAGGCTTCGAGTTCAACTCTGGCACCCTCCTTTCACTCATTAATGAGTTTCCCATGTTTAAACATAATGGGTTTCAACAACTCTTCTACCCACACATTTAGTGCTTCTTCGGTTGAGGCCATGTCATTTTAACAGCCTTCTTTATCCTACCAGCCTTTTCTGGGGGGTGTGCTTAGATATAAACCGTGTCATTGCTAGTTTAAGCTTTTATGTTCTGTTTGGGAGAGCAAGGGAAAGAAAATGTAGAAGGAAAATGCTAACAATTGAAAATTTTCCCTCCGTTTCCTTCTAACTAAAATTTGAAAGCTTCCCCTATTTTCAACAGACATTTTCATTCCCCTCATTTTCATTATTCTCCCAAACAAAGCCTTGAGAAGACATTTGCACACTTAACTTCAAGAACACAAGTGCTTATCCAAATTGGAAAAATACAAAACTTGTAACTGTAGTACCTCCCTCTAAAACTGAAAAGAAAAATTCTTATTTTGAGTACTAGTGATTGCTCGATTCAATTAAAGAACAAAGAAATGGTATAAAGAGTCCAGCTGCTTCCATATGAACCCTGTCAAGAAATGTGGAATCCGACGCCTATATCATATGTTATATAAAAACATAAAAGAGCAATCGAAGCCAAGCAATTTGTTGGGGAAAAGCTGTACAAGCGTCCTTTACCTTCGGCTTATAATTAACAATTTATCAGCATCTAGTTGCATTATATGCCAAGGGAAATCTAGTATCTGTGTATCAGGAGCTCCAGAGTCTGCAATGATCTGCCTTTGCAAGCCCAGCATATTCACGATCCAGCTCCAAACTGTAACTTTTGTTTTGCTATAGTCTTTTGGATATATTGTCTCAACAAGCCGGCACCTCATGTCTGCTCTCCTTATAGCATGGTTCTATTAGAGGCAAACGATGAGTGATAAGGAAAATTTTTTAAATCCATGACAACTAACTAAGACTAACAAAGGCACATATTGAACTGAGGAAGCACCAGTTCCTGTAATCTCTCCCGAGATACTAACAAAAAAAACTACAGCATTAACAGTCAATTTGCAGACAGCTAGTCTATCGCAAACTTTAGTAATAAACTGCATTCATGCTACATGTTTTGAATTCAAGAGATCCCTAGTACGAAGATGTATGAATCCTGGACGTTCTTAACAAGAAAAAAATACAGCGCTATGTAACATTGGTTGTGTGTGAGACTACAAATTACCAGATCTGTGCACCATACATATCAGAAGAATGTGAAAGAGGGGGGGTGAAGGGAATAAAAGGATAACAGGAAATTCAACTAAAATTGACTGGCATATATTACAACATGGATATATGTTTCTTGAACAAGAATGGATTTTAATGAGCCATTCAAGAAGGCACCATTTTAGGTTTTAAATCGCAATCATACAGGGATTGATGAAGAGATGATCGTAATGCACACGGAATCCTTACAAATATTTCTTAAACAGATTTGTTAAGCTATCAGCTTTTCATGAAGACCATGCGACAGCCGGGCGATACCAGTGGAACAAAAAAACAAACACAAAAGGGCAACATTTGATGAGTTGCTTTGGGCCTCAGATACCTATGTCATTATGATAAGTCAAATGATCTTAATTGTCTATCATTTCATATCAAGGACATTCAAATACATCCTGACCACAATAGCACAATATAGTATTTCTAACATAAGCCAGATAAATGACCCATAGTATCAACTTTTTTCCAGTGAATGAACAAGACTATCATGACAACACTGAAAAGCTGTTTTTCTGTGTTGAGAGTTCCAATCTTCAAAATGATGTCACAGAATCATCTATTATCCCCAAAAAGTCCACAAATAGACAGGATACAAACATGAATCGAGCATTAAACAAAATGTGGCCATGGAAACCCACATGCCAAAGGACATTCTACCATTCTTAAATGCACCTAAGTGATAATTCTATATCTTGCTCATGCACAAATACTGCACAAGGTCTGCGAACAGGATCTCAAAATTTCACACTTATCATGAGCTATTCTTGACAAATATACATATTCACACCAATAGAAATATGAACAATTGAGAACGAAGAACTAGCACTGATAATAAAAAAGGTATATTTGAAGAATTCAAGGGAAGAAGTCTACTTTTATTTTCATCCACTGCTTTAGAATTGTCAGATAAGTATCAAAAGATATTTGTCAATGCATACCTCTGAATCCGCGATATACAGGCAATCCTCTGCGGCATGGTAGAAAGAAGATGCAGGACAGAACAATTTGGCAGATTCAAAATCACCATCTTCAAATCCCGGGAAAGAACCAATCTGACACATTGCTTTGCCTAAGTCATGTAAGTTATCTCTACTTTCCGACATAAGAAATGAAGACAACAAATGTCAAGTTTAGGATCCTATCTAACACATCAAATTGACAAAGTACTGAACACTCCGCTTAAGAAAGCTAGCTAAATGCATAAAGCTATTGACAAGAGTGATGCCTCCAGCATTTATGCATTGAGAATCAGCAAAAGCCAGCAATTGTATTGAAATGAAAGCATGTAGGCATTGGAAATTTATGCCTCTAGTTCTTTACTTACTACAAATTCTTTTTTAGTCAGATCTTCCTATAATTAAACATTACAATGTAGCATCTCACAAGCAACTGTTGGTAGAGACTGCTCTCAGAACTGGCTCAAGGTTTCTTTATGCCCGACAATTCTCAGATAAATGCTTGTTTTGTCTGATAAAGTCCATGCCATAGCTATAATGTAGTAGTATGAATGCATATTTGCCCACAATAGCAGAAAACATGCACATATTGTTCTACTCCAAAGACCAATGGCTAATCAAGATACTTATAATTGAGTACAAATTCCAGACATACACAATCCAGAATCTTCCCGTTGCCATCACATATGATTATCCGATGATGATTGCTGTCAGAAAGGAATAGGCGACTGCCATCCTCATCAGCAGTCACACAACCTATAACAAAGAATAACAATTACTAAAATTTAGCGTATGACAGAAGAGATCAGAATACTTCATATGCCAACCAGAAATTCTAAACTTGAGCTAAAAAAAGCAACAAGATACGATAACAACGCATCCGGCTGAGCAAAAAGAAACTTTACATCGGCACCAAAAGCAAACAAATGAGGGAAAAGTGCTAATAAAACCGTGCCTCTAGAAGTGATACCTAGAGTTCTCAGTGGCACTTCATATTTAGAAAAAAGAAGAATCTCTCAAGCATATACTGTAGAATCAAGAAATGCTTTCTTTCAGCCACAAACAGTTTTCACTTTCAAGGTAAAATCCATTCAAAAGCTAAAATAGCAAAAACACGAATGAAAAAAGAAGTTCTACCACCAACATGAAGCCACGAAACAATATTTCTTGGTAATCCATTGTGTTTCAAAACCGTGTTTCATAAAGTCAATTAAAATTTAAGCTTATCCAAATTTTCTACCTGGATTATAAAGAAGCAAATTTTGCACAATAGAAGAGAGGCAAAGCTCCTTGGCAATATCATTTTGCTTGAAAAGCGGGCTTTTGGATCTGACAGGTGGCTCGGAATCCTCTTTGTCTAGCTTACCAAAGTCCTCAACCACTGTAATATACATCACCAGATAGCTCGCATAAGCAAATCTCCAAAAGTTGTATAAACCATAAAGAAAAAGGCATAACCAAAATTGACATTGGATTATTACAAATCTGACAGATTACAGGAAACCCGCATTTTACTGACATCCAGTGAGCATGTGATTCTGGAGGAAACGCAACAAATGGTCCAGCAGGAGAAAGTAGGGAGAGAAGCACTAGTAGAGAAAACAAGGTAAATTTACCACAGCAACTTTCTGCACAGCTTAACAGACTGCAGACTCAACAAGATAAAGGACATTCTTAAATTGTCACATGTACTTTTACCATATTCAAGCAGGTAATGCTCAGCATATAAATCTCCAGGAGCAAAATAAGTACTACCCCGTCTAGACTTAAATATAGGGAGCAGAAAAAGACAATAATAGAAAGCAGAGTTATATCAGTCAAAAGTGACTATTACAGCATGCTATTACAAAAATATCTCCAAAATGCTATGAATGGAAATGTCACATACCTTTTTCAATCATCTCGACATTGGCATCCTTCTCAAGGAAAACAATTGGATTCTTAAATTCTTTATATAAAACAAAACAAGGCTCATTTGTTATCTGCAACGACAAAAGGACCAAAGATACAAGGATGAGACAAATAATCTAGGGAGACTACACTGGATGGCCAAGGTACAAGGAGAAATATAAATCCACAAAAACCTCGAAGCCTTTACCAAGAAGCACAAAGCTGCAGCATATTACCTCAGAGAAGTCCTTGCTAGAAAATAATACCGGAAAGTTGACGTGCTCCTTTATCATCAATTCAGCTAGATGGGTTTGATAAAGAGAGGAACAAGCTGAACTGCCAAACTGAAAAACCATGACATATATATGTGGAGACCTGCAACAGCGCAAGAAAGGAGGGAACAAAAAACTCACACATGGAAATGCATCCAATCAGATAATAAGTGGTTCAGAAGAGTACTTGTTCCTCTACCTCTGCTGAATTGACTTCATTATTCTAAGAGTTTTAACTACTTGATATCGCAATGATGGAGAATTCGCATCCAACTGACCAAGCAGAACTAAAAATGTCTTCACTCTCACAAGACAATCATTATCTGCTTCAACCTTATTCAACCAAAAATGATTCGGACCTGTAAAAATTCATTACAAAAGAGGGACTGAGAAGTGAGGAACTACATGATATGACATAGAATAAAAAAAAATACTTTTACACAACAATCCACAAGTGCAAGCAAGCCTGCATAGTCCGCAGATATACGAAAGAGAGAAGGGGAGGCTAATCCATGTATAAATATTTCAGGGATTCCAAAGTCAACTGCTGTTATCACTAATCAGCAATCCACAAGAACATGTTATACATTCTATTTCCTCATTAAAGATGAGCAAAATCACAAGTCATAATTTCTGGAAGAACAGACAACCAAAATATTTGTAAATAGCTAACAGAAAAGAACCTCCGAACAACAACAATAACAACCAAACCTATTCCTTCTAACAGGAAAAAAGGGGGGCAAAAAGATCTGTAACAAAAGGGTGCAAAAATAGAAAAAATGCCCTTTTTTCCTGAATATTGCTTCCCATACCTTCAAGAACATTAAATGAGGATTGAATGAAGGACAAAATGCTGTTTTCAACCTCACGCGCAGAATCATTTAGAACATCTGAAAGCGTTGAGATCCTGAAAATGGCTGTAGATGATAAGTTAAAAGATATTTCAAGCATAATTTCACTGAACAAAAATAAATCACTCATAAATCCTTTTATTTTCCTTAGTGGAATCACTTGTGAGTCTTAGACTGATCCAAGACTTAGGCATTTCATTTGGCTGACACATAGCAGAATTCCATAAAAAGAAAGAAGGAAAAGAATTACGCCACAAAATAGATCTTTTGCAAAATCTATGACATAAGAATGTGGACACAATCAACAGATTTAGTCACATCAAGTGAGTCACGCCATTTCTCAGACATCACTAAATTTTTAAGATTTCAAGAATATAATGAGACCTCAAGGACACGCTGCAAAAGAAAAGTGTATACCCGACTGGTAACATCAGCAATCATTCTAGAAAACACGGCAAGAAATATAAAAACGTATGCATCAAATTACCTTCGCATGTCAAAGACACTCCTTTCAATCGGCATGTCGAATCTTTCCCATGAATGACTGTGACTAACTGAATAGGAAGCCGATAGACAGAAAGATGATGTGCATCTCCAGCAGTCATTACCTGTAAATAAAATCAAAAGGCAAAACTTTAAGCGATACAATAACTTTTGGAACAGCATATCCTGCAAATCTGTAGGAATGAACCGAGGATTATCTCCGAGATAGGACCACCAAATATGTGAGTCCCCAATCAGGTTCTTCACTATAGAGAAGATTGCACAGGATGCCGAAACACCACTTGTGCTCAAAAGATCACAACTTACAATCGAAATTGATCTTACACAGTAAGATACTAATTCACCGTCGGTTCAGGAAATTGAATTAAACAGGAAACACAAGTACAACCCAAAGAAAAAGAAGAAAGATGGTTCAGAAACAACACAAGCCCACAACCCAATCTGCGAACACGAACCCAAAGCAAGAAAAAGGTTGAAATTTCAAGACAAATAGCCAAAAGATGCAGCCTAACCTGCGGAAACACGGGGCAAGAACCTCGAAATTTGACACAAGCGACGATATCTCACAGCCATGTGATCCCCGTCCTTTCCAAATGCACAAGTAGCCGGTTTCTTGATGCAGTGTCTCGGTTTCACCACTTCAATGGACAAAGGAGTGTCAGCATTAGAAGAAAGAGAGAGAGAGAAACGAGGAAAGAAAGAGGCATAGGACATGAAATAACATACATATATCGGAGGGAGGGCGCTTATCGATTGCTGTTGAGTGGGGAGGGAGAGTTGAAGAACAGAGTCACCATGAATGTGCATGTGTACGCGCCGCCACCTCCCGCCCAGGAGAAACGAAGGGTGGAAGCGGAAAGAGAACCAGAGGAGACCAATATGTTATTTCTCTTATTTTTGCATTTCATTAGTTTCACAGAGGCATAAACTCCTAAAACCTTCGCTCGTTTTGATTAAAAATTAAAAAAACAAGAAGACAAAACTGAAGAAAAAAAGAAAAAGAAGAAGAAGAATGCTAGGGTGCCGGTAGGCCGCCCATCGCCGGAGGGGCCGACGGAGGTCATCAGCCCTAGGCGAGGGTGGCTGGGCCGGCCCCGAGCAAGGGCCAACGACCCTCGTTAGACCCAAACGAGAGTGCCCAGATCTCGGCGATTTTTGAAGCAATGATTTTGGAAACCTCGCATTTTCTTTTCTTTTCTTTTCTTTTTGGCTTCGAAGCTGTGAAGTTGAAACATTGCATCTAGGGTCTACAAGCTCGATGGAGTTCTATGATTTCCTCATCAGGATGCGCAACGTTGCTTCTCTCAATCTCGTTCGATCCATTAAGAGGTTCACCCCCCTCCCCCTCTCAATCCCGTGGCAGCTTCAACTCAATCTATAAAAATGGCGTCGTTTTTAGGCTAGCCAGCCATGTCATTTCATGCGACGTCGTGGACTCGTTCGTAATAAAAAAAATGCCACTTTAGATTTAACTTTTTATTAATGAAATATTCGATTAACTTGACTTTTATATTGATGGCAATAATACAAAAGTCCAAATTAAGAGAAAATATATCTATATTGTTTATCTACTTTCTCTACTTAATCTCTCTCTATTCTCTCTATTATATTCTTGCAGCACAATATTTTACAACATATATAATGTTTATGATGTGTTTTTTGTGCGCCCTCTTTCTTTTCAGAAAAGAAAATGTGTTAATTCCTTCTGATGCTAAACTTTTCGAACGTCCAAAACCTCTTCTGCTAGTCGTCCATGTTTTCAGGAAACACCGGAGGACGCAAGGAGTCGTTTCCGTTTTCTTGTTTTTGACCTCATTTTCCTGTTAAGACACCATTCCTATTTTGGGATCTCGTTCGTTTTTAATTGAACGATGATGTTTGAATGCCTAATTTATCAGAATCGGGACATTCTCTTTTTGTCTCTTCATTACTCTCTCACCTTCGATGAGGATAATGACCAGTGTCTAGAACTACCTTCTGTCCCGTCTTCATCAACAGTTTTTTCAATGTTTTTCTGGTGATTTTTCAATCGATAATTTGCGCGTACCCGTCTCTCCTGGCCCCAGAACGCTGGATTCACGAAGACAAAGTGTTTCTAGCTACATTTTAGTCTGTTTGTTTCGTGAGAATTTTCTTGACATTTCCAAGGTTGCCTTGTGATCTAGAAGGATACACACAGATGCATATCCTTTGTGTTCTCTACCAGTTCATTCTGTCATTTGGGATGTGAAGCCTTTTTGATGCAGAGCTTGCTTGGATCAATATCTTTTCCGGGACATTTTTTTCGGTTCGGACGACCGCTACATTCATTGTAAATCGGTAATAAAATTGATCAGACTTCGATGAACAAAACCTTTTGTACTTGGGAGACAAAAGGGTGAGAATTTATCATTGCACCACCAGACTGAGAGATGAGTTGCTTTTCATGCTTTTCATCCCATGAGAAGAAGGCGGCTTCCAAGAGGTCACATGATGGGAGAAGACAACAGAACCAATTGCCCGCTTCTCCTCCTCCTCGGAAACAATCTAGCGCTCCAACACGGACCGGTAAGTGCATACGATCATGTCATTGTCTTTTTGGAGAATCAGCACTCACGCTATGGACCTCGCGTACTTACTGTTCGACCATTCAAATAAACTATTTTCTCTTCCTTATCCTGCATCATTCCGGCAAGTAATGTGTGAAATCCTTCTAAAAAGTTAAGCACGCAACTGTTTTCTTCAGGGATATGTATAACATCAAAGGATTGTGCAAAATTCTTTGTTCTCTTGTTTTTGGGCCTTTCTTATGGTTGAAATTATGCACCACTGGTCGTGAGACTCGAGAACTACTAAATGACTGGGATGGATGCCAAGGCAGCCAGGAGGCGAACTTGCTAGGCCGAGTTTTCTTTTGAGTTTTTGCTGTTAGAAATTCTTATTGTTTTGGTCGAACTCCTAGAAATTGATGTTTCTGTCATTGGTCGTGCAGAGACTAGTAAGCGGAGACCACCCGTCGAGACCGTGCCGAAAAAGGTCGCTCCTCCTAAAGTAGCGGACAGCAATAACAACGTTGCGGCGCAAACATTCACCTTCCGAGAACTGGCGACCGCAACGAAGAACTTTAGGCAGGAATGCTTGATCGGGGAAGGCGGGTTTGGGAGAGTTTACAAGGGAAAGCTCGACAAAACCGGGCAGGTGAATGCAAACCCTGAAAAATCAAAAGAAAAAAAAGTAGCATTTTATGACTACCATAATCAATTGACATACAAAGAGAGACTAATCTAGGGGTTGATGTAAAAAATTCAGGTCGCGGCGGTGAAACAACTCGACAGGAACGGCTTGCAAGGGAACAGAGAGTTCCTCGTGGAGGTGTTGATGCTGAGCCTTTTGCACCATGAGAACTTGGTGAATCTCATCGGCTATTGCGCCGACGGTGATCAGAGGCTTTTGGTGTATGAGTACATGCCACGCGGTTCCTTGGAAGACCATCTGCTCGGTACTGTGTACTTTCATTGCATTCATTAAGCATTATCGGACTGTTTGAACTCTTTCAAAAAATTATAAGATATTTATCCTTCGCAATGATTTCAAATAATTTCCTTTTGTCCATCCATCAAATGTTTTTGGAGATATGTTCTTAAGCTTTCACGGTCTCGGACGCCTTAGGTATATACAAACTGAATCTGCTTGTGTACTAGAATCAAGTCTACGTGTATGCCGAAACCAGTTTCAAGAGATTTGGTTCCAAAACAGCCACTTATGTTCCTGTGCTTCAATTCAGATCTTGGACCAAACAAACTGCCATTAGATTGGTTCACACGAATGAAGATAGCCCTAGGAGCAGCCAAGGGCTTGGAGTATCTGCACGACAAGGCGAACCCCCCGGTCATCTACCGCGACTTGAAGTCCTCCAACATTCTTTTGGACAACCAGTTCAACGCGAAGCTCTCCGATTTCGGGTTGGCCAAGCTGGGCCCAATGGGGGACAGACAGCACGTATCTTCAAGAGTGATGGGGACTTATGGCTACTGTGCCCCAGAGTATCAGAGGACGGGCCAACTTACCGTGAAGTCGGATGTGTACAGCTTCGGCGTTGTCCTGTTGGAGTTGATCACCGGAAGGAGAGCTATCGACACCACCCGGCCAACAGAAGAGCAAAATCTAGTCTCTTGGGTAAGGAACTTCTTTTGGGTCGAAAATCCAGCGTACGAATTATGCAGCAGTGCATCTGTTCTCACTAGCATTACGATCTCGCTAATTTATTCTTCATCCGCTTATACTTTCGTCCAATTTTATTAGCTTGAGAAGCGAATCGGACCTGAAAACAGTTTGACACATTGAGCGATCATCGCACGCAGCTCTTTCTAAACTACTGTCAATTTAAAATGAAATGCACACCAGTGTCCATTTCTTCCTTAACTTATTATGATCTGTTGAAGCAAAGTTTGTCTCTTACTTTGGCTCGAAACAGGCACAACCCGTTTTCAAGGACCCCCGCAGATACCCAGAATTGGCGGATCCGCTCCTAAACAATGAGTTTCCGGTGAGAGGCCTGAACCAGGCAGTCGCAGTGGCCGCGATGTGCCTCAACGAAGAAGTGGCAGTCCGACCCTTAATGACCGACGTCGTGACCGCGTTGAGCTATCTCTGGTTAGGCCCTGGGACAGGGACCGTAACGGTCCACACGCAATCTCCGCCGTCCGATCACAACACGATGGACGGAGATAGGAACAGTCAGGCAGGGGACAGCACCAGCACGATGGAACGTGAGCGCGCAGTCGCGGAAGCGATCGAATGGGGCTCCAACTCACGGCGCAACGCGAGCTCACGCTGCGGGAGTTATTCTTCATTGTAAGATTTTTTTGCATACAATGATGTTAATACCGGCATTTTCTCCGTCTGGGGGTTTCATTGCGTCTTCGAACCTTGCAATAAGAGGATCTCCAAGAGCATATTTCTCTTTCTTACGTTTTAAGATCGAAGAAAGATCGTCGAACTTCACGCGTGCAGAGATACGCTTACAGATTTCTGCAGATGCGTCTAAGAGGACACCAAACTTTGAACGTTTAGTCCTAGAATTTTTAAGCTAAGTTGTTAACTTCTTCTGTATCCGTTATGGTGGAATATTACTTCTTATGACTAATGACATGAAGGAGATATAGCCTTGGGATCCTTGTTATATATATCTGATATTCCAGATTCCCGAGCAGGTTAAGTTAATTAATGATTTTTATAGGTTTTTTCCGTGGTAAAAGTTGTAATTTCATTAGAACGAAAAATAGAATGCAAGTGATTAGTGAGATTAAATTCGACCGACATATCGACTTAGCCGTTGAACATGTCCGCAAGCAAATTTCAATCCAATTGGATATGGATCGTTGCAAAATGCAAGATCGAGCCAGATTCTTTTAAATTTTATCATCATCGCATTTGTTATTCGAGAATTGTTATAAAAATCAAGCACTTCTCTATTAGCTCAAGCTTAAATATCGACCTCACCTTCAATCACCTATCGAAGAAATCGTAACTCTCTCTCTCTCTCTCTCCCCCTACGGCATTCGCGACAATGGTGCCATCGGTGGCATTAGTGATGGCCCTGATGACAGCGGCACACCGGCATCGCTGTTGTGTTTGTGACAGCAATGATGGTGGCGGCGGCGACTTATTTAGAGGTGATCAGTTCTAGACCTAGAGCTTGGAACTTACCTCCTCAAGATCGATTCTCGATTCTTGGAATTAGGAACTGACCATGTTGACTTTGGAATTGGTCAGGGTCAACTCAAGAATGCTTTTTTTCTTTATTTTTTGTTTCATTTTTTTTATATATAATGTTCGTGTGTCAAACATAAATACAATTCTTTCTGTTTAAGGATAATATGTCAAACATATCAATTTCAACAAATATTTTCTATTTAAAAAAGTATACAGAAAAAACTTACTTATGGCCGGGAGAAACCGGTTCAAAACCAATTCGGATCCAGATTCTAAGGTATGAGTGAAACCGGCTGGTTCAGGGTATAGAGTCGAAAATCAAACTGGTCAAGACCGTTCCCAATTTTGGAACCGAAAACCAAATCGGTCTCCTCGTGAATGGCCTTGAAATGGCTGGGTAAGGCCAATTCGGGCTAGTTCCCGAGTTGAACACTCAACCTTAGATTTATTGGTGGTCATCATCCTATTGGCGATGGTAATGGCAATAGCCGAGTGTGTTCGTGCTAGTAAGTAGGGTTGTCAATCGGTCGGGTTGGGTCAAGCTTTCATGATACCCGACCCGACCCGAAACCTACAGGGTCATGCTTGACCTGCCCAGACCCACCCCGAGACCCTGTTCAGCGCACACCCCAAGGCCCGGGTCGGGTTGGGTTTCGGGTTTTTTTTTTTTTTTTTGCGGATAGATTGGAATTGACCAGCATTTTGTTTGTTAACCCAACAATAACTTATATAAACATAATATATATTTTTTGACAAAACAAATTGTCAATGTAAACCTATGTTTTCTTTTTTTCATTTTGATTAGTAAACTTGAAAGAGAACCCATCAAGGTAGCATACAATGGTCAAGTTTTCCAATTTTCATTTCGGCAATCAGCTAATGTTCAACCTCTCGTCAATTAACATCCAAGCATCGTTACCTAGATACGATTCGAATAAAAAAAAAAAAGAAAGCGCAACAAGAAAACAAAAGAAATACACGGTATCAAATAAATAGGATCGATTGAATTGTGAACCCGCCGCAAATAGAGAATCGAATCATGTTAGTGGTCTGCCCTAAGAATCAATCAAGGTTGATACTCTAATATTAGTTGTGGATTAGGTTGTGTCGGAAAACCGATCTTCACTATACTTAGGTAGTCATAATGTCTTGCTAGAGACCGCTTATGACTTGTGGGCCAAAAGAGTTTTGGGCACACTGCTAATGTTTAGTGAACCTACGGGTCGCACACAATAGCGAACGGACTTAATATTGTCTGTGCGCCTTGATCTACTTAAGAAGTAGATTTTAATTTATTCTCCTATTTAAATTATCTATGCGGTCGTGCGCGTTATGAGATAACGATTAAACGTACGATTGAAGGTGGACGGTTTGGCGGACCCAAATAGCCCGGCCCACTTCTTTTAATTCCGCTAGATAATGAGGCATAAATAGATAGAGAATCATTATCATCTAGGGTTTTTCGATAGAGTATCGAAAATCAAAAGGCGTTCAAGAAAAGGAACTTCAAGATCTTTCGCTAGCACGTGGATCGTTGGAGAATTCCGTTCGTATGTGTGGATACCGGTAGAGGCGCAACACTTGGGCGCTCATCCGACACAATCGATTGCGATTTATCTTCGATCTGCAAAGTCGTACGTATCGAAATTCCTTTTCGATTTCAATATACACATGGATCCTATCTAGGGTTCTATATTCCGCTGCGTTGTTTTCGTTGATGAACCCAACAAATCATTAGATGACTAACCAGGTAAGGTCGGTTATGTTCTCTTGTTTGTTCTTTTCATATGCATAAGACAGAAAAATGATAATAGAGACGACTTCCAACACGTTGCATTCAGCGGAATTATATGCACTACGCCAGAATCTCTTTTCTTCCCACTCTCGCTGCATGAATACCATCACAGAACAAGTTATGTAGTACAAAGAAACTAAAAAAAAAAGAAAGAAACTAAAACAACATTAACGAACAACAATGATTGGAATTTTCACTCCTAAGCAAGACGGGCTTGCTTCCAATTACTAATACATCATCATGGGTCAACATTCCAGAGATAAAGCTAGTGCAAAGGGTTTGACTCAGAATTTCTTTTCCACTTTGACGCAGTGTCGTCTGAAAGTGGATAGACACAGCGCATTAGTATGACACAGGCTTGATCAATTCAAAGCGTGAGAGACAATTCTCATTATGCAGAGAGAGAAATTGTCGAAAAATCACTTACCACTAACAAGAAGTGAAGGACAGTGCTTATTAAACCCAACAATTGGCATGGGCTGTGAATACCAACATGGAGCAAAGGCGTAAAAACATGCAAGAGCCTGATTCAATCTTCCTAACATAAGAAGAGATCAAATTCAGGATAGGGTATAATCATAAGATTAGCTATGTAATGGATTCTATAGGGCATGTAGGGTTTTGAAAAGTACGATTTCTCGGGCAAAGCTTCATGCAAAGCAAACAGGAAGAGTGTTGGAGGAAATCTAGTAATGTATTTAATTATATTACCACTTGTGCAAGTAGATGGACAAACAGAAACCCGAAGTTCAGTTCATCCACATATAAATATGCATACAAAATACTAAGAGAACAGCGACATGGATCATAAAGTTTTCAAAGCACGAATCTTCCCCTCATCATGGTCATTAATAGAAGGAAATGTTGTATAATAATTTCCGCCTGTTCTGCTTTTCAAAATTAGACATAATTTCATCAATAGATTCCTCCCAAGACTCGGCTGCTTCTATCTATGGACCAAAAATAACAATAAGCAATTTCTCAACATTTAGATATTTAGCATACTCTCATAAAGACGTCAGAGATGTTATTACTTTATCTTGTAAAGTTTCCGCCTGCTTGCTTTCATAAACACGATTAATCATCCACTTCACATATTCTCACTTATGCCACGGGTCAAGTATGCAAGCAATAAACAAAGTAAGATTGATGTTGCTCACATTGCCAAAATACTTATTGAATTTGACCTTCATTCTCTTAATCACTTCCTATAAAGTCGGGTCCTCATTTTCACAACATCCGTTGATCATGATATAAATCACATATACATCCTTCACCATATCATTACTAGTGACATAAGAAGAATCCGAAACTTTTAAAATAGTATCAAAGAGCAACTTCAGAAAAAAAAGAAAGTGACGGGCATGCTCCCAATCATCACTTGTAGGCAATCCTTTCACCTTGGAAAGCTCTTCAACAAATTTGCTATCTTGAAATTCCAGCAAGATAAAAGCTATTTGAAACTTCAAAGATGCTTCCAACATTATATATGTCGAGTTCCAATGAGTCTCCACATCCAAACATATAAAACTCTTGAACTCAATTTTCTCTAGCTCAATACAACCCTTAAACCGTCTTAGTCTCGCAAAAGAATATCTCACATAACGCACGGCCGAATGTATTCTAACAATCGAATCATTTATGTCTTTCAATCCATCTCTCACAATCAAACTCAATATATGATCACAACACCTCATGTGGAACAACTCATTTCTCAATACTAAAGAATTCCGAGAGTTAAGTCTTTTTTTCAAATATGGGTTAATATCACGAAAAACCCTAAACCGGTACACTTGTGATACATTTATCCCAAACTATTTTTTGACCATAAAAACCCCAAGCCGGACACCCTGTGACAATTTTACCTTGAACTATTTTTTGACCACCAAAACCCCAAACCAGTATACGTGACAATTTTACCCTGAACTTACCACAAAAACCTAAACTTGGTACATATGTGACAATTTTACCCCAATTAAAATTTTAATATTATTTTTTATTTTTCGAATTTTTATTTATTCTTTATTCTTTTCTTTTCTTTTTTTCATCTTCAAACCACTGGCCGGTCGCCGGTCCGGCCGAGCGGAAGCCGGCGAGGCGGCCCTCGCCGACGCCGGATCCGCGAGGGCGACCCTCGCTGCGTCGGGCGAGGCCGCCCTCGCTGCGTCGGCGAGGGCCGCCTCGCTGAGTCGGCGAGGGTCGCCCTTGCCACGGGCGACGAGGCGGCCTCGCCCGCGCAGCGAGGGTCGCCGCTCGCCCGACGCGTCGGACGAGGGCCGCCCGACGCCGGCGAGGGCGGCTGCCGACGCCGGTGAGGTCGCCCTCGCCCGAGATCCGGCGAGGGCGGCGCTCGCCCACCGGATCGCGAGGGCGGCCTCGCCAGGCTCCGCCTACGCGACCGCCGAGGTTGAAAGTGAAGGAAAAAAAGAAAAGAAAAGAAAAAAGAAAAAAAGAAAAATTCAAAAAAATAATATTAAAAATTAGTTCGGGGTAAAATTGTCACATGTGTACCCAGGTTAGGGTTTTGTGATGTTTGGGGTAAAATTGTCACTTGATACTAGGTTTGGGGTTTTTATGGTCAAAAAAATAGTTTGGGGTAAATGTGTCACAAGTGTACCAGTTTAGGGTTTTTC